GTGAGTCCAACTTCCTGTGTGTGTGTGTGTGTGTGTGTGTGTGTGTGTGTGTGTGTGTGTGTGTGTGTGTGTGTGTGTGTGTGTGTGTGTGTGTGATGGCGTATGGAGCCGGTCACACGCAGGAAACTGTCCTGTTTTGCTCTCTGCATGGAGAACAGAGTACATGTTGATCACGTGTTTTCTACATGTAGATTGTTAACATGTGAGAGAACACGTCTCTGATGATCTGAAGCCTTCAGAGAGAAGTGATGTTCGTCTGGTTCTGGTCTAAATATCTCTGCTGATGTTAAACGGAGCTGCTGGGAATGAAGAAACATCAGAAAGTGTTTTCTTACGTATCCGATCATCTGTACTGTCATTTATCGTGTCTTATTGTAACATATCGTATACAAATATAACGTATATTGTATCGTAATGTATCCTATCGTATGGAAATGCATTGGATCATATTGCAACGTATCGTAATATAACGTATCCTACCGTATTTGTATGTATCGTATCGTAATATAACGTATATCGTAATGTATCACAAAGAAAACCTTTAGAAAGTGATTCACAAAATGATAATAGAGATTACATTTGAAGAAGCTTTATCGGCATGTTGACGTCGCAGATAGAGTATCGCCAAACTAGTTGTTCAAGCAATACAGAAACAAACAAAAATGATCACAATGGAAGAGTGTGGCGATGAATCTGAAGACGTCCTGAGATCAGACCGAAGAGAATAAAAAGAGACGATGTCAGAATATTTATATCCACTCGTTTGAACTGCGTTTATATTTAGATATATATATATATATATATTTATAGATCAGAGGACTGGAGGATGGAAATAACTCTAAATAAAAGCTATTTTTATATTGACTTTATATAATGTGAATCAGTTTCTATCAAATACTTAAAACAACAAATCCTCCAGTGATCCTTTGCTATGTCAATAATACAAACAACAGATCATCATCATCATTCACAAACACACTGAAACACACTTTAAACAGAATAACATGTTGAGTTAGTTTGAACTCCTCCTGAGGACTTTCCTTTATATTTAAGAAACGTAATAGAGTAACTGAACTACATGTTTTATGATATAATAACTTCTGCAGATAATAAATGATTGATCACTAACTGTGATATGGTTTTTAGCGGACTTGACAATGTGTTAGAACAGTTTTTTTGGTGTACTTTATCGGTCTTCTCAGTATGTATTCTCTGTTTTACCGTCAGAGAATATCTTTCATTCCTTGAAATGCGTCTCAAAAATACAATGCATTACTATTATTCACAGTAATACACTTAAAGGTGGGGTAGGTAAGTTTGAGAAACCGGCTCGAGATACACTTTTTGTTATATTCCATGGAATGCTCTTAACATCCCGATAGCAATGAATATCTGAAGTGCTTTGACAAAAAATCCATAAATAAATGTCATCTGTGGAAGCCGTAGTACTGTAAAAAGCACGACCAATCATTTTAGCCGGCCCGGCTAAAATAACTGGATGGCCTACCTGCCTGTCAGCCTTCCATCTGTGCACAAACTTATCTCGTGCCCTCATTGGTCATGTGCGCGTTCGTGTGTGTTGGAGGAGGGGCTCTGTAAGGAAGTGGCAGATTTTCTCCGGTTGTGTATTTTCAAATTCTAGCGCACTCGAGCTGGTTTCTCCGAAATTACCTACCCCACCTTTAAAGGTCCTAGATGTGGGGGAAACGTCTGAAGCAATTGGAAACAGGACTCAGAGAGACGAGGAGAGCTGGAGCTTTGATGGCAAACACTGACGGTTTATTTGGAGCTTCGGCCGGAGAATTGACAAGACATGTCACGGGCCACGGTCTGACCACACGGTTGAGATGCCACAACCAATTCTGAAGAACTCTTTCTGTAGCTCGAGGTTTTAACTAGTTCAGAGTGAAATAATCAACATTCTTTATCAGTGAGACTAAAGCAATATGGACCCTGAATCTAACTAGAGCTCTCGTCCATAGAAAAGAATGTGCGCCAGGCAACCTGCGTCCCTGAACAGTAAACGACCTCATGGCGGCTTGTGCTCGGTCATAAGCTGGCAACAACAATGCGCCCAAGCTGCTCCTCCTTAAGAGAGATAGCAGCAGAACCCCAGGCCGTAGACCTATGTCGTGGGAAAGGAGACAGTGAGAGGAGAAAATGATGAACTGTGTCGAAGGTTGAATACCTAAGCAAATGATTCCCTAACACTAGACGTTTGCTTAACTAATGTTAAAGTGATCCAGTTAGAGTTCTGTGTTTGTTAACCACTGCTAACCGGAGCTGATGTAATTATTCAGTGTACCATTTAATTCAATACTTTCAATATCCCTAAATATATTTAAATATAAAGAGAATAGTCTCGTTTGTCCAGAAGCCGACGACTGGTCCACGTCCATCAGTAAAGGCTAGAGAACTGAGAACTTCCACACGTTCAATATAAATACCATCATTACACACTCTGCTATACAACATGTGCAATATTATTATTATTAATAATGTTCTATAATAACGTGTAATTAAGTATCTGCTACTACGTTTTTTTGCACTGCTCGTCACTGTAAAGTATTTTCCATTAATGATGTGACCGTCTGTGTTTCCTGTAGATATTGAATTGCTCTCTTTACTGCACTGTTAGTACAGTTTTATTATCATGCTGCTGAGTTTGTTGTGTTTTTGTAACTCTGGAACAACAATTTCCTTGGGGATAAATAAAGTCCTCTCTTATCTTAACTTATCTTATCTTATCTCTCATCAGAGGAGTCTTCTTCTTCTGTGGTGGTGGTTGAATTGAAACCCAGTGTAATTTGGTGGTACCTGCAGAGATGACTTATTGACGAGCTGTCAGATATCGCCGTGGCAACATCACTTCCCTTGTTAGGAGCCGCGGGTCGGCGTCTCAAATCAATGCGTTTCACTGTCGGTCCGCAGTAATGAATGTGATTTACATTTAAACTGCACACACACACACACACACACACACACACACACACACACACACACACACACACACACACACACTCACACTCACTCACACTCACACTCACACACACACACACACACGCACACACACACACACACACACACACACACACACACACACACACACACACACACACACACACACACACAGGAAAAGCCTCTGTTTATAGACCCAACTGAAAGGGATATTTAGCTGAAGCAACATCATGGACTAAAAACAGAAAATGTTTAATGAAGAAAAGTCTAAATTAACTTTCCCACGTCTGGCCCCCCGTGTGAGGCTCTCTGAATCAGAGGTTTGTAGAAAGTCAAAATTGGGATATTTTGAGATAAAAAAATAATTAAAAAAAATCTGAATTCTGAGATTTCAGAACATTTAAATTGTTTTTGAGATTTTCATAAAAAATATAGATTTTTGAGATTTGAGACAAAATAGTCACATTTTTAAGACGTCAGAATATTTAGGTTGTCAGAAAAAAGCTTTGATTTTGAGAAAAAGTCAGCACCTCTTTTCACCCTCTGTCTGAAACCAGAGCCCAGTCTGCTCTGATTGGTTAGCTGGCCGGCTCTGTTGTGATTTGTCAACCAGCTCAGAGATGTCCCGCCCCTTAGCCTATCACGTGTTGGAGTGATAGCCAATAGGAGCAGGATGGTTATAAAGCAGGGGTGGGCAAACTTTTTGGTTCGGGGGCCACTATGAGTTTTAAAATTTGACAGACGGGCCGGGCCAGTAGCAGATCGGTAAAAAAATATTTAGCTGTCCGCTCCTCATTATACACTCGGCACTCAATGTTGACTTTCCTTTTCTTTGGTCCACTCATTGTTACAGATGCAGGTTCAAAGGTGAATTAGGTTCAAAGGTGAATTATTGCGTCATTGCGTCATCGTTTGCGTCATGACGTAACCGTTTACGTGCCTTCTTATTAAACACACAGCGTTTTACGTCGCTGATTTTCTCCGCAACACCGCTCACAACAACATCAATAGAGGACTGCGTCGGGTAATTTTTAATTATACGAAGCCAGATTAAATTAAAGAACTACTTCTCCAACCTTATACTTTTCTCCAGAGTGCCGTGGTGCATTGTTTATTAATGTGGTTCAGCTGCATTACTGCCTGCTGCAGTGCTGCTCGTCTACCGGAGTTTATTCTCCCGTTAACTCGCGGCAGCGGTAGCGGCCGCTGGAAAGTTTTCACTGTCTGACTGTCACACAAGCAGCTGATAAATATCCCCCATCCCCATCAGTGAATGTGTTTTAGTCTGAAAGCTGTTTGGCATCACAACGCTGTTATGAACGTTTCTCTGGCATTCTACAGGTGATGTTAGCATAGCAACCAAAGCTAATCAGACTATCTTGACTACTTGTTGCTATCATATTGTGGCATAAGCCGTTTTCTACACACATATTTTACCGGCGTAGTTTTCGTTATGATTTTACTTGTGATGGCCACATGTAGCCCATGTATTGATTCCATCCGATAGCTGCAATAATACAAAACAAAAGGAAAACGTCTTCCTCTTCACAATGGTCAATAACAGTGAACGGATGGATGGTCATTAAAGTAAGGTAAAATAAACAGAATCACACTAAGCCTGGTTAGTGTTGCCTGACTTTATATAAGTGTTTTTTATAAGTGTGTGGTCGCGTTCTAGTCACTTTGCTCAGCGCTACTGCTTGTTACAACTTGTATTCGCCGTACTCGCCATGAACTGTTATTGCTCAGGATAATCTCGACCTCCTCCAATGTAAGCGTGAAGTATTTGGTTCTTGCCGGGTTGCCGAGTGGGGCCAGCTGAGAGAATAGACCAGACTCCAGCAAAGGTAAATTGTGTCTAGAGTGCACCATCTAGTGGGATCAACTGAAATGCCGGGTATTGCAGGAAAAAGGCAAAATGAATGCGGTCTTTACTATAATTTGGACAATTTTGTACCAATATTCGGCGGGCCGGATTCAAAAGCCCAACGGGCCGTATATGGCCCGCAGGCCTTAGTTTGCCCATGCCTGTTATAAAGTGA